ACATCTACTTTCTGGATGTGCGCAGTCAAATTGTATAGGAGACAAGCTGGAGTCTCGTGTGGCGATAGCGATAACACCGGGACGAATGGTCTGGGGTACCGGTTTACAGTCTGCTATTTACCATCAAAAGTATGACTAGAATTGTTCATAACTTGAAAACTATATCTTATTTTGATATTTTGGTGAACTTTGAAATCAATGAAAATTGACATACCGTAGACGTTTTGAGCAGGATAAAAATGAAGATGGTATTTGAGTGTTAGTGTCAACACTAAAGCATGTGATAGATAACAATGTCAGACTTTTATTCATAAATACTAAAGTAAAGAACAGGTTCAAGATTTATCAATACAACTTACTGAAAGTATTCAAAATTATTCAGAGTAATTCATACATTCAAGTAAAACATTCTTATCATTATAGGCTTTTATCCATGACCTCTAAAGGTCACACATACTGGTACTGTGGGGGTGTGGCTAATACTGCAAACTGTTGTCATTGAACTTTAAACACCATTTTAAAGTGACAAAAATTGAGGTTAAATATTGGTATATACAAAATTTGACTGGATGTAAATCAACTTGCAGCTTGTTCATACATGTTTTATAACTGCATGCCAAATCTTGTATTGATTGATATGTATTTAGTGAAAGAATTTGATAATTAGAATTTAATTTGTAAACTGAAATTACTCATTCCATACAAATCTTTAATTTTAAAATGATTTATTTTTTACTGCTGTGTTTGAAGCACACAATGGGAGTCTTTGTGGTTACCCTGTCTGTATGTATGTCTATATGTCTGTTCCACCAGTATCTCAAGACCTGATAGTTTTTGATTGACACCCATGTGTATTAATGATCTCATTTGCATAATAAAGAGCCCATTTTCAGCTGTTCCAATGATTTCTCAAAAAATATTCAACATACTTTAATGACACCCGATAATTTTTCGGTTGAAATCTGTGAATATTTTAGTATTCAGCATATTTCAGTGAAACTTGAAACTTAGGTGCCCTGATAAAGTGCTTTGACAACTGTGTTCCTTGCATAGCAGAACTATATTTATTTAATTCCCTGAACACAGAGTACTTTCTGAGCTTTTCCAATTTAAAATGGTTGTCATGGATTTAATCATTAATTTGTTCTCAGAATTTATTTCTAAAATTTCAGTAGTTGAGTTATCCTATCATACCATTGGGTAACAGCTCTGGTAATAACTGCCATTTGCTTCTAATAAATGAATCTGACTCTGGTGGATTAATAAAGCTGATATCATATTATAAAACGTTACTTATTTGCGATAATGAACTATATGGATAAATGATTTACTATATTAAACTGCCAGAGACTGATGTTATAAAAGGAACAAACATATGAGAAATTGCAGTTGCACATTTTTTTCAATTGTAACCATGGCAATATTATTGCAGTGTTGTTGAAAAAAGGCACATTGTGATTTGTGTGATGCTTTTATTAAAAATTTGAAATTCAAGTGGTCTTATTTCAATTATCTATTGTAGTTGTGGGAATGTCAATGCATATGGCAATTTTGTGATCCAGTGCCAGGCATGTATGGGCTGTGTTGATCATCATTAGAATAAATTATGAAGATAGTCTGTCATGGAAGACTTTGAGCTGCATAGATTACACTCAAGCATTTTCTAATAGAACCCAAACCCTAACCCAAAGTTTAACATTCACTCA